ATATGTAAAAACAAGACATAGAATGTTTACCAAGTGCCAGGGGAATTTCCAGCTTTATCCTATGAGGCATGTACTATGTAGCCTTATTTTTTTTTTTTTCAGCATAGTAGCACCCTGTACCCAAAGAGGTGCTTTTTATATCCATCCACAGATAGCCATTTAAATGGTTCTTCCCAGAAAAGCTGTCCAGGCTGATTCAGACTTCCGACTTGATCCTGGCTTGAATATGTTCAACATTCACTCTGAGATTCAGCCTCAGGCTTGGCCTCCTTGCTTTGGGGTGACTCTCACATTTGGAGAGACCATTGCTTCAAAGGATTACTTTAGGCAGTGCACCACCCGGACAAAGGCCAGACCACACTGCAGGCCTGTGGTTAGAGTCCTCAGTGTGTTGGGTGTACTCATTTTCACTCTCTAAATGTTGGTTCATTCTTTCAATAGGGAGTTATGATTTTTGTTCTGTTCTATTTTATAATTATTCATTACCTTTCAGAGCCTTTTGTTTTTCCTTGAATATAAAAGCAAAATTTGTCCTCAGCTCATTCTAAAAATCTCAGTTGTGTGTTATTTCTTGAGATTGTTTTCTCAGGATATCCCAGCTCTCTGAAGATGGTAATTCTGTTTTGATTCTCTTTATAATCAGATTTCCTTTTGAAGCACTCTTGAGTCCTATTGAAACTCTCTGCTAGGTTATGTCTTTCCCTGAGGTTGGGGAGATGATTTTTAATTCGGCAAGCTTGTCACCTTCCCATGCCCCATCCAAATCCCGAAGTCATAGAAGTTGTGAATTCTATTCTTTCTTCCATCATTTCATCTCAAGAGACTCAGCTGGATGAACTCACTCTACTCCCCGCACCCCACCATTTATCTCAAGGTAGTTTATGTATGTGTTGGTTACAGGACGGGTAAGTAATRAAGGTTAAGTTTGTAGTAGTTTAATTTTCTGGGGGTACATTTTTCAGCTTTTTGGATTTATGTTGTTGCTGTGTTTTTCTATACTAAGTAATTATAAGACTTGCATGAGCCAAAATTACAAACAGTATGAACTGAGAACAGAAGCCTACTCTTAAGATATATCTGCAGAACAGCAGGGATGTATGGCCGTGGGGTCCTGGAGGACTTGTAAAGAGCAAGAATTGGATTAAATCAATGTGAGAAATCCTGACTGGAGTTTTCTAACCGTCCCCTTGTCTGTTGGAAATATTTTTAATTCAAAGCATTAAAGACATTTGAAACAGAGAGATAGCTTGGACTGTTTGGTTAAAATAAGAATATTAAGTCAAGTCACTCCTTCAAAGCCACATGACGTGGAGATCTCCCAGAAGTTGCAGGGTGGCCTAAGGGAAATGAGCCAGAAGATTCCTCTGGGAGGAGTTGACCAGGGTCTATGAAAGGGAAACATTCATTATAGTGAGCAGCCTGGTTGTCAGCTGTGGCCCAGGGTGAAGACTGAATTTCCTCTAAGGCAAGTCCAGGCTAGTTTCTCATCTTAAAGAATGGCTGGGCATCCCAGAAGAGTGAGCTGGACTTCAGCATGACTGTGTCTCTGTGAGTAAAATACCAACGTAATTTAGCCTTCAGCTTGCCCTGCTCCAATCAATTTTCTTCACTACAGCTATAGTGATATTTTAAAAGCAGAAATTGGATGGTGTCACTACCTTGATTAAAGTCTGAGTTCCTTCCCATGGCCCACAAGGCCTGGCGGGATCTGGCCTAAGCTTACCTTTCCAGATTCATTTCAGGTAGATGATGCTTCTTCTTGTAACTAAGTCTTCTCAGGCTTTCTTCTCTGGAATGTTTTTTTTCTTTCCTGTTTTTCTGTTTCACTTCTATCTCAGGTCTCAGAGGAAGCACTGCTTCCTTAGAGAACCCTTCTCTGACCTCTTTGAGGAGGTCGAATCCCCTTGTTAAGAGATTTCCCATCCTTGGTGCAATGATGACAGGTTTTACTCAGGGTCGGGCTAGGCTGTGAGGTGCAGGATGTCATTGTGTTCCTCACACCAGGTCAGGGATTTGTAGGTGGCTGATTAGTGCTCTTTGAAATTCAGGAGTTTTCTTCCTTTCCTAATTTAACAGAGACAAAACTTCAGCCACTAGAATATCACATCTGGATTTCCACCCTCATTCTCTCTCTCTCTCTTTTTTTTTTAATTGATTTTATTATTTTTTAAAAATACACGACAACAGAGGAATGCATTACAATTCTTATTACACATATAGAGCACAATTTTTTGGATCTTTGTATGTAAAGTATGTTCACACCAATTTATGCCATTATACATGTACTTTGTTTTTTTTTTTGCATTACAATTCTTAATGCACATATATACCTCAATTTTTCATATCTCTGTATATAAGGCATGTTGACAACCAATTCAAGTCTTCATACATGTACTTTGTATAATGATGACCATCATATTCCACCATCTTGCTAATCCCCTGCCCCCTCTCTTTCCCTCCCACCCCTCTTCCCTATCTAGAATTAATCTAATCCTCCCGTGATCTCCCTCCCTACCCCATTATGAGTCACCCCCTTTATATCAGAGAAAACATTCATTTTACTCAGCATTAAAAAAGAACAAAATCATGGCATTTGCAGGTAAATGGATGGCATTGGACAGGATGATAATGCTAAGTGAAGTTAGCCAATCCCCCCAAAAACAAATGCCCACCCTCATTATCTACCTGGTGAATCCCTGTTTGTGTTTTAAGATCAAACTTCACAGTCCTTTTCTTTGAGATTCTTTTCACAGTTGTCCTCTGTGCTAGTCAAGGGAGTCTTGGTGGCTTAAACCAACCAGGACATCCATCTAGGTCATGCAGCATGGTCATCATGCTTATCTGGTGGCCTGCTTCTCATTCAGGGACCCAGGCTGAAAGAGTCTCCATCTCTGTGCTTCCATGAAACAAGACCCTGTGCTAAGCCATAAGCTGGCTCTATCTTTTCTCCTAGAAATGATGCACTTTCATTCATATTTTATGATCAGACATACAGCCAGGTTTAAATGAGAAGAGGATGGGGAAGTACAGTGGTACTATGTGTGAAGAAGTAGGAAAACTGGTAATATTTGATGAATAACACTATGCCACCAAACATTTTCCATGTCTTCCCTTGGTGTTCTCAAGTTGTCACTTTCATGAATTCATTCCTCCACACTCCTTTAATCATACCAAAGACCTTATAATCAACAATAGTAACATCACTTTTAGAATCTTAAAGGGAAGCACATTACTCTACTAAGAAGCAACTCTGAGATGGAGACCGGCACACAGAAAGCTGGTGACTGCCTGAGTTATTTCATTAATTTCTAGTGTTTTGTTCTTATAATATGGTTATGGGAATCTTGTTAACTGTGGATCCTCTCCTTGGACCTCAATTACCCAGCAATAACTTTTATTTATAGGCCGACAGGTCTTTAGCACAAAAAAAGAATATGATGTTATTCTAGGGTGTTTTATTAGGAAATAAATCAACCTACTTTTCTTTAAAAATAAGTAGAAAAATGGGTTTTCTAGTGACTCAGAGTAGCCATATTTATTCTTGGCTTCTGCACATTAAGGGCATTAGGATATCAGTGATCAACTTAATGGAAACACTGTGTTTAACTAGTTATCATTTTCAAGGTGATGTCATGAAATAAATCTTGATGAATAAGAGGTCAACTTCTGAGTTCAAATTTCAGGTCCAGTATGTTTAAATGGGATGACTTTTTGTCAGAGATTTAACTTCTCTGAATCTGTTGTCTAGACTTTTTATTTATTTATTTTTACTGGGGATTGAACCCAAGGGCACTTAACCACTGAGTCACATCCCTAGTCCTTTTTTATATTTTATCTAGAGACAGGGTCTTGCTGAGTTGCTTAGGGCCTTGGTAAGTTGTTGAGTCTAGTTTTGAAATCCATGCTCCTTTTTCAGCCTCCTTAGCCACTGGGATTACAGGCATGTGCCTCTGTGTCTCCACTTTAAAATGGGGGGAGGGGTGTTTGTACTTTGTTCTTGAACTGCATATGAATCAAATTAGGTAATTCCTTTAAAGATACAAAGCATTTTGTCTGCCTCACTGAATTTTAAGCATTAAGTTCAGAACTGACTCTTAGGACAAAGTGATGAGGTATTGGGGGCTTGGAATAGTTAAATGCAAGTCATTAGCCACTAACAATCAGAACCAGAGCTAGAGACTATATTTTCTATCTTGGATTCCCATGCTGCACTCAAATCCCTACCTCTCTTACACCATCAACTATAAGCAGCTTGAGTAAGATGAACATACATCAATTTTTAAAAACCCAATCTATAGAAGAGGCCAAACTCTGTACTTATGGGTAGAGGTTATTTTAATCCACACCATGATCTTTTATGAGAAAGCAGAAGATGATCTGACCTCCCTTCCAAAAAGAATAATATATTTTGTTGAATCAGCCCATTATTCTATCACATGGGAGAGATCTCCAGGTCAAGAGATGAAAGACATTAATTTGCATGAGACAACAGCTGCTGTCCGTAATWTCCACAATACAACACAAGAGAAACTGGCTACAGCATCATTTTGTAACAGAAGGATTAAAGCATGTCTTAGTAAGACACATAGCAGAGAACAGCCGGATTCCCTTGATCTCTCTGATAAAAGCTGTAACATGTACCATGGATGCCCAATAAATATTAATTGGTATCAACTTCATGGGCACAGAACTCCTTGAGTTTGGACGTTTAAATTGAGCATCCTCCTTGGTGGGAAATTAATAATTGATTCTGTCTTCATACTTCCGGGGGTTCTTAACTCTTCTGTCTCACCATGTGTCTTTTTAAGAAATACTTTCAGCTTAGGACAGGATCTCATGTCTCAGCTGAATTTGCACTTAAGTTTTTGTGTTTAATACATCTTGCTTTTCCTCCTGACTTCATTGGACATTCACCTTTTGTAACTTTATTGTAAGATGATTACACTCTGGTTCAATTATTTGACTAACCATGATATCACTTCTTTTTTTTTCCCCATCAGATATTGATGAATGTGCAGCTAAGATGCATTATTGTCATGCCAATACTGTGTGTGTCAACCTGCCGGGGTTGTATCGCTGTGACTGTGTCCCAGGATACATTCGTGTGGATGACTTTTCTTGTACAGGTGAGAATTAAGAAGCATTTCCCCCTAATTTATCCCTTCTGTACACCACATTTGTGTTGCATTTAGCTCCTGGTGCACAAAGTATTGTTTTCCTTAAATAATTTGCTTTCATTATTTCACCCTTGCCTTTTTGAGAAAAATATAATAATAACAGAAATTTTATCAGCATAATTTATTTCCACTCCCAGTATTTCTGCCTGTTTGTGTGAGTACAGTTGCATGGATATGTTATTTGGAATTGGAATTGAAGTCTCCGTTGCCTTTGGTAATACTGAAGTACTTAAAGGTATCAGTGCTAAAAATAGAAAGTATCAAACAATTTTCTTTCCATCACAAGGAGAACTTTTTTTTTAATGTTAAGAACATGTACTTTGGGAAAGATAAGCATTAAATTAGAAAGGGTGGCAGGGGTATCTCATGGTCAGGGAAAAGACATGGGAACCAGGCAAGGTTACTTTGATTAACATTTGCTTATTTTCAGTGTCCTATCTCTTCTCACTCTGTCCCTGTAGCTGGCACTAAACTGTAATACCAAGGACAGTCACTGTCTCTGTGTGAGTTTTACTGGCTTTGTGAAATACCTGGTAGTTGCAAAGTATTTTTTAATTATGTATCTGCAGGTATCAACTTACATTGGTTTGGGTATTAAAAGATTCCAGTCTTTCTTATCTTGAATTAAACATATTCAAATGCCCAACTGCCACCTATACACATAAAGAACTTCTTGAACTCATGGTTTCAGTCATGTGGTACCTTTTCCTAACTTCTGCATCTTTCTTTCTGTCCTAATGATATTGGCATATAAAAATTACATTCTTTAATCATAAAGTAATGCCACTTTTCTTGATTTTTCTAAATGACCTTTACAGAAGTGCAAAAAGTTACCAAAATTATGGAAACACATATGTCCAAATTCCTTTGTCATTGATTGTATGTTTACAAGTTGTTCTTCTCCAGGTGAAGGGAATGGAGAGCTCAGATTGATAAAGGTTTCTGAGGGTACATAAACCAAATGCGATTTAACAGTCTGATACATAGCATAATTAAAAATTCCTAGGAAAACATGAAAGGTTTTATAAACTTAGCGTGCTGAGATCTAAATTTTTTAAAGGTTTAAAGTTCTTTTGGACCTCTAAACAAACATGATGTAAAAACCTCAGATGTTATAGGTGTCTATCACTCTCTTCTTAATAGTATACAGAGCTCGTAACTTATTTTAACCATAAGATTAGAAGAAGCCAGTGCGTCTCCTCCAGACAAAACAGCTCATAACTAAGGAAACTTTAAGGACAACCTTATGGTATGGAGGGCCTTGTTGAAATTATAGCAGAACGTCACTTCTGCTCTTAAGTTTTCATTGAGGAAGGGGGAAGCAAGTTGTTACTTGCTAAATTCCTATTAAAGTCAGATGTTCTGCCTGGTAGTTTGTATATGGAATGAGATGGAAAATGTACTATCTTAGGAAATGGCTCCAGAATTTCTTATATAAAGTGAACTCTGTTTTTTGGAATAAAAGGCAAAAGTACAGCCATCCTCATACACACAAAAAAGTAAATGACCCTGAAGGGGGAAAAAAGTCTATGGTATAAACATATACTTTTGTTTTGTTGTGTATGTGTGTATGTGTATTTTGCCTGAGAGGGAATAGCAAAGTCAGAAATTGCAGAAGAAAGAAAATTAGGTCGAGAGGAGAGGAAGGAATCAGAAGGAGAAAGCAGGCTGCTGTGAGAGGTGAGATGGAAGGTTTTTTAAAGAGCAGCAAAGTTTCATGTGTGGCTTATCCACTATTTGCTCTACAACATGCTGTGTTAATCTTCCTCATGACCCTGAAATCCCCAGCGAGTCCACCTTCCCCTAATGCTGGGTAGCACTGCCCCCAACACTAGGACACATGTTCACCTGGTGGACAACAGAAATGGCACCTGTCACGCAGGATGTTGGGATGGAGGAGGCAGAGGAGCCATCATAGTGGGACCGTCTCTGTCCCTCCTGATGCCCCTTGACTCCCACTGCCACACACTTACTTAGCCATACTGCATATATTTTGTCACTGCCTCTTTTCAGGAATTTCATAAATTATAGTGGGGACTTTGGACTTCCTCAGGTCATACAGCAGAGAAGATCTTCTTCACCTCAAAGCACTCCTTGGATTCCAGGTTCCTTCCAAGCGACTCACTGCTCCATTTTTTTTTTCTGCTTCTCTGCACAGCAGGAATTAGTCTGTCTGTGGATGTCATCCTCCTTTGCCTTCACTCACCTTATACTTCCACCCTGACCTTACGAAGAGACCATATTTGTCAGGGTCCTCAAGAAACTCCTTTTGCTAAATCTAATGTTCTCATCTCAGAAGCAGTTGGCACAGCATTTAACACACTTTCTTCTTTGACACACATTCTTCTCTTGGCTTCTGTGAGGTCCTGTTTCCAACTTTTCTTTTCTGTCTCACTGGCCACTCCTACCTAGTGTTTCTGGATCAGCACTTATTTTCTGGGCTGACCTTTGAAAGGCTTAGGGTGCCCTAGGGCTCTGCCCTCATCCCATTCATTTATATATATATATATAATTTTTTTCGATGCCTTCATCAACTTTACGACTCTAACTGCATCTCAATATCAGTAACTTCTAATTTCTATCTCCAGTTAACATCTTCATACTGAGCTTCTGAATCATATATTCAACTTGACATCAAAAGATAGATGTTTAAGAATGCATTTTATATTTAACATGTATAAGACAAAACCCTTAATTTCCTTCCACTTCTGCAAACCTCCTCCTCTTCCAATTTTTCCCATCTCAGCAAATCAAAGTACCATATGTGCAGATTTTCAAGATACAAAACAGGGTTATATTGGTTCCATTTCCTCCCTAGGGGCGATAGTTGATTACCCTTTCACTTTAAAGCAATTCACCAGTCTTATTAACTCTACCCTTCATACAATGTCCCTGGTCTTTCCACATCCTATATTACCATCCTAGTAGACTTTTCCAGTGGCCACCAAGCTTGCTCCTCTGTAATGCATTCTTCACATAGCAACCAGAGCAAATTTTTAAAAACATAAGTTATACAAATATGCTTAAAACACTCATGTATATTTCATTAGATAGAAAATCAAATCCGTATCTCTTATTTTGTTGTATAACCCTGTGTGATTCTTCTCTCTTCCTGTCCAGTTTCATCTTGTATCATTTCCCTCCTTGCCATTTATGACATGACCCTTGTCTTCTCCATTAAATAAGCTTGTTTCTGCATTAGTTCCTATGTGTGAACTGTTGCCCCTGATTTAATGTCTTTTTAGCATGATATCAGAATAGGAGATTTTTTTGTCATTTAGATCTCAGCCTAAAAATGATCAACTCAAAAAGCCTTTGCCAATCAATATAAGTATTTTTTCTCTCATAACACCTGATTTCAATTATCTCCATGTTACTTATCACTATATAAAGTGTTTTTGTTTTTAATTTATAAGTGATTTTTTATTTGTCCCTTCCTATTAGAATGTAAACTCTGAGCAGGGACCATTTTCATTTTATTTCCTATTGTATCTTGAATATTTAGGACATTGCTTGGCACAGAACAGTATTCAGTTAATATTAGTTGAGTGAAAGAATGAATAAACCTAATTGACCTTTGACAAACTCGTTTGTAAAATATTTCTCATGTCATACCTACAGGTTCTTGTGAACTTCACTGGTACGATGCATGTGAAAATATTTAACATGGTGCTTACATCAGCCAGCATAAGATATTTTACAGTAATAGATAAGCCTCAATAAGAGTAACTTAAAATAAAGTTTTATTTCTTATGCTATTTATCTACCACTGATCAACAGAGGTGTTCTGTTTATGATTACTATGGAATACAGTCTCATGGGTTAGTCAGTATGGTGAACATTGCCAGTCACTAAGACAGGGAAAAGAGAGCCTGGAGGGTCCTCCACCAGCCATTACATGTTCTGCCCAGGGAGTGACACATATTTCCATGACTGGTCACTAGTCCCATCCACCCACACAGGAATGAGGAAATGCAACTGTACCACCTGTTTTGGTGGAGCACCAGAAGTAGTAGATGAGTGGTGCTAATGAATGTCATGACTGATACTGCACAGATCCTCAAGAAAGGAAGTTCTTTTGACGTGCAAAGCTGCGGGTCAATCTTCTGTCAATATCAATTTGGCAATATGATAGGGAACGTAGATTAAAAATAATCACAATAATAAGCATGGTGTATTAAGTACTATGATGGAAGTATAAACAAAATTCAGTAAGAAAAAGATCCTTGATTGCAAAGATGGGGTATTTGGAATTTCTGTTTGTTTATTCTTGAAAGTCAAGAGAAGTTATTGGAATTTACTGGAGCTTGTTGGCAGGTAATGTCTGTATTGGGTTAGAATTTACAGTGGGGGTATGGATAGAAGAGAATAGTGCAAAGGATGAGCTTTCTTCCAGGACGTCATTTTTCCTCTTAGACCCAATTCAAGGAACTCCATTAGACACTTATGTAATATACTTGAGTCTCTGGAATCCTCACATTAACTTTGGTGTTACTTGAATCAGTTTTTTTTTTCTGCTATGACTAAAAGACCCAACAAGAAAAATTTGAGAGGAGGAAAAATTAATTTGGAGCTCACAGTTTCATAGGTTTCTACCTGTAGATAGCTGGCTCCGTTGCTCTGGGCCTAAGGTGAGGCAGAACACCATGGCAGAAGGGTGTGCTGGAGGAAAGCAGCTCAGGTCATGGCACCAGAAAGCAGAGAGCTCCCCTCACCATGGACAAAATACAAACCCCAAAGGTATACTCCCAGTGACCCAACTTCTCCAGCCACATCCTACCTGCGTATAGTTACCATCTAGTTAATCCCTATCAGAGGATTAATACATGGATTAGGTTAATGTTCTCATAACCCAATTGTTTCACCTCTAAACTTTCTTGTATTGTCTCACAAATGAGATTTGGGGGAACACTTCATCTCTAAACCACAACAAATGTCCAGGAAATAAG